ACGCAGGAGTTCAGCCACATCTCCAAGAGCTGTTTGACACCTTTTTATATCCTACCCCCTAATCCGGACCACCTAAAACCACTGCCCTCCCCATGCCCTTTGTACTTATCTCATCTAGCACCATCTACTTTTCTATCAACAAAGCTCAGCTCCTATTGTTATTTCTGCATTTCCTCTGCTTGCAGTTTAGGTTAGTTAGCAACTTCTGCTTTTCTTATTTGTATATAGTTTACTTGTCTGACTTTATGACTTTCAGGTGGCTTCTTCTATCAAACTTTAGATTCATTAGAAATTTCAATAGGATAAGGGACAGTGAATGTTAGCACGAGGAATAAAGGGGAAAAATGTTGTAAAAGAATATGAATTTTGTATCAAAACAGATATGAGCGAAATTACATCATAAATTTGTTTTACTATTTCCTGTAAAAAAAAAAGGGAGCAAACACACTTCTAACTAGATGAGAAGCAAAGCTGTATTTCTGGTGGGAATAGAAACTTCGTTGTATTGTTTTTACACAAATCAATCAACTGAGAGCATAGAAATCGAACACAGCAATAGCAATAGTGCTTTACAAAATCAGCATATTGCCCCCAACAATCTGGGTCATTTTATTGACCTTCGAAGGATGGAAGGCCGAGTCAATCTTGAGATGCATTGGTGGCAGGGAATCTTCCTGTGTACTGTGCATATTCTTTGAAAACGCATTAACAGTAACGTTTGCTGCTTCATAGATTGATTAAAGGGAAACATGCAGAAAAATCCAGTTTCTTTGCATTTAATTGTTTGGACTGATACAGACACACGAGACCGATCCGTGCACTTGTTTGATTAGTATCAGTAACTAGTTAGGCCCAGGCGCGCATGTAAGGAAATAAACCCGGCGAAGCTCGCTCCTGATTGCAAGAAACCCTTGCAAGCGCCGCCTCCGTTTTGCTGCAGAAAATCACGCAAGCGTCCCGGCCGAAGCCAAGGCAGGACATGAATGAACCAGCAGGCTATTCTGAGCCGCAGTTCGGCGGAGACATGCTACGGCTGCGCGTATCTCCTAGGTAGAGCAGATATATATCGTGAGGAGAGGCACATGATCGTCCCGATAGGGAGAGGAGGGGAGCGAAGGGAAAGATAAACACTCGAACCTTCCTCTCGAAGTCGCGACCTCGAATCTGCGAAGGCGAAGGCGAGGGGAGGAAATGCCCCGCGACTTTGAACCGGGAAGATCGGATACCTCTCGCGTGCCGGGAGTGCGCGAGAGAAAGAGGCGGGGAGAGGTCAGGGAAAGAGGGCGAGAAGCCGAAAGAAAAAGGAGGGGGGATATTTTCCCCTTCCCCAGACGTCACGTGATGTTCGGAGACCGCTTTTTCTTCAGAAGCTCTCGCCCGCGGCGGAGAGGACTTCTGCATCTGCTCACGGTCGCGCCAGTCCTCAGTGCCTCTCGCCACCAGAGGGCGCCGCCTCAGGGCAAGAACGACCTGGCTGGCGCGCGCGAACGAGCGAGCATCGTCGATCGTAGGAAAAGGAGGGAGAGGCGGGCAGGAGCTGTTGATTGCGCGACACCTTCTGCGCGCCGTGCGTGACGCGGCGTTCGGAGGGAAAGGGGAGGCCGGAGGAAGAGGCGGGGGGGAGGGGTAATCAGAAGCGGCGAAGGCAGGCGAGGAGAAGAAGCGCAAGCGGCGAACGCGGAGGAGACGCAATGTGAAATCCTGCGAGGCCCGGGAGGGCTAGACGGCGACCCCGCCTGCATCCGTGACGAGAGGTGAGGGAGCGGCGTCGACTCCTTTCAACTCCCCTTCCGCGGTTGAGCGGAGGAACTCCAGCCAGTCGCTCTCCGACTCGTCTCGGGGAGGCCCGCGGCAATTCCGATCCGAAGCGGCTCTCCCTGTTCGGCGTGGCGGCCACCGCACAGTTTCTGCCCGGGCAGCGGCTTACATAACCAACTGCGCCCGGGTCAAGCAGTTGTTACTCGCGGCCGCCGGCGACAGGTTGCGCTGCGCTTTGTATCGTTAACCACATGGGCCTCTACTGTGCCCTGGCCGCTTCAGACACAACACGACCGCTCCCGCAGTGAGATACGAACCCAGTTGCTCGAGGCGGCCGCGGCAGAAGCCACTGCGGACCGTGGGGGGGGAGGGGGGGTCTCCTCCCCACACCAGAGGTGCTGTCATTAGCTTTGGGTGATAATGTGTGCAAAGCATCCGTTGTGGGACCCGTGGCGCTGTCTGTAGCTTTCCATCACTGCAGCTGTCTGCGTTTTGTTACTATTATTCATCCTCATTATGAATTATAGGCGCTGAGCGGAGATGGGCACTTCGGTTTGGTTGTCGGGCGCCAAGAAAGGAAGTGAAGCTGTAAGGTTTTTAATGAGGCTGAGGGAAATTCGTATTGGCTAGACAGAAGGTTTTGTAAGACAGCCGCAAAAATAAGCACCAGGCTCAGAATAAAAAGACTGGATGGGAATTGACAGCACTTTAGACTAAACGATGTAAGTTAAATAACAGGATTTAAGTGCTTTTCAAAATTCTTGTAAAAATGGTCAGCCAGATAAAGTGAATTCTTTAAAGGTTGCATGAGCAGATTCTTCAGGTAGGATGTCATTTGTATATAACAGCTATCCAGTTGGCATATAGGAAACCCTTAATACTTTCAGTAAGGAAAAATTGTTCCCACTAATTATGTATGTCAAAGATTAAAAACAAAAAGCTAAAACCAATTTCTTAGAACATCGCTTTATTCTGTGGCTTTGTAATAATTTTGTTAAACTCATGATAATTAACAGGACTAGTATTTGGAGAATTTACATATTATCCATATTTCCTTTTCTTTATTCTGTAATCTGTACTAATTTAATGAACAATTTGGGACTTTTATCAATGGGGGCAAGTCAGCATTAAGAGAGTTTCTTAAAGAAAACTTTAAACAATTCGAAATAATTGCAGAAGATTTTTAGATACAGGTAGTCCTCGACTTATGACCACAATTGAGCCTAGAATATATGTTGCTAAGTGAGAAATTTGTTAAGTGAGTTTTGACCCATTTTACAACTTTTCTTGCCACATTTGTTAAGTGAATCACTTAAATTAGTAACATGGTTGTTAAGTCTGACTTTGCTTATTAGAAGGTCACAAAAGATGGTCACCTGACCCCAGGACTGCAACCGTCATAAATATGAGGCAGTTGCCAAGTGTCCATGTTAATATGAACCAGCATATTAACGTACATCCAAATGTAAATCATGTGACCATGGGGATCCTGCAATAGTCATCAGTGTGAAAAATGGTCATACATCACGAACGTTGTAAGTCGAGGACTACTTGTATTTTTCTTTAATGTTTATTGTAAGCCTATTTAGGCACATTGGAAAGATTTTCTATTTTCCATGGAACTATTTCCTGAGAAATCTGGATACATTTATTCAGCAATCCAATGTAGAATTTCATAGTAAAATTCTTTGGATTATCAAATTAATCTGTGCTAATTTAAGAAGAAAGACTCAAATCATTCAACTGTGCTTTGATTTTCAAGCAGTGTGCATACAGTATTAGATTTGAAAATGAAATAAGATAAGATAACCTTTATTGTCATTTTTTTTACTGTGGGCATAACGGCACACATCAAATCCTGTTGTATGCAAATCATTGATTTTCCTGTTTTAAAAAATTGCAGTTAAATTACTTTAGGAAATGTATTTTTTTGAGTACATTCTGCTTTGTTCTTTACTGGTGTATGTTGTTAAAATCAGTTTGAAAATAAGCATATTTTATGTAGGAGTTATTCAATTTTTTTAAAAAAATGTTCTTAGAAGTAGTTTAGCACATAATATAAAGAGTAAATTGCTTTTCTCTTTTCACTTGAGTATTATTAAACCAGTATTTAATTTTTTTCCAATTAGCTGAAAACATTTTAATGCTTTTTAAAGAACAAGTAAATAATTTATCAAAATGTTAAAAATATTGCTCCTTTTAGTCAAAAGTGCACAAATTTGGCCAGATTAAAGATATACTGCCATTGAAAGAGAGAGTTCCACATTGAAAATTAAAAATGTTTATTAATTTAATCAGTTTAGATGGTTGCTCTAAGTTACTTTTCTCCCAGAAGTTCAGATATCAAAATGAAAGAATATTGATGTACATAACTGTGTTACATTTTTCTTTTTTCTAAAAAAGCAATCATGAAAAAAATCTGTGAAAAAGTATTGAAATAATACAGGAGAGTATTTATTTGAAAACCATAGTTACCCGATTAAAAAAAGCTAAGAGAAAACACTAATGTAGAAGTATTCCAGTCAAAAGCTAGATCTTAAAGGTGTTCAAGGATAGGACAATAGTTTTTTTCTTTATAAAAGCATTATGAACATTTATAGCTGTTCTAAAAATGCATAAAATCATATCTATATGAGATAGATGATGGACATGAGATGTAGTGAAATGAAAATTTCATTTTTAATGTTTTGAGATACATGGTAACTTTTAATAGTTCTATATTTGAAAATGGATTTTATTGTGAAATACTACCTGTAGATAGTAAATGCTTGTGATAATTTATGTTCATTATTTTACCATATTTGTAACCTGTTTGAATTCTAGCAGTCTGTGAAAATACAACTGAGAGAAAACAAATTTAATATAATTTAAAAATGCAAGTAAGCTTGACAAGCAACCTTAAATTAAACTATGTGGAAAATGTTTACTAGAACAAATTGCTTTGGCTTGTTTATAAAATATCAACAGGGCAAGGGCCATGCATACCTCTGAGAGAATTGGGAAAGAGATTCTATAAAGTGGGAGCTGTTACTGAAGTGACCTGTCTTTTAGGCCACATCACGTGTACATATCTAATTATATTTTTTAAAACATTTAAGGTCTCTATATCACCAAAAACATACCTTTAATTTCTAAAATTAAGTTCATATTATCCGTTTTTTATTATTGAATTATTGAGTTCAAAAAATGGTGAATTCTTCCACTGTTTGTGAGGAAATTTTCAATCTAAATAACAGACTAAACAGTTTAAAGTTTTATTGGGTTAGCGTTCTTTATTCACATATCAAATTCATTGTGTGAACGTTCTGTTGACTTAATTCATTTCCTAATGTTATAAATATGAAATGATGTATGTACAACTTATAAACTATGCCAAGATCCTTCAAGGAAATATAAAATAGACATTTAATGAAGCAATATTTGTTTTAAATTTGGTGAAACAAAACTACATAGAAAACTTTTAAGTAATGTTTTAATGTTTTGACATAATAGATTTCGTGAAGTTAGTAATGTCATAATTTTCACTATTTTAAGTGAGAAAAATAATTCTTGTAATTTCAAACTAAGGAATGAGAAAACAGATTTTTAACGTTGATCAAAGTATATTTATTTTTATAAATAATTTAAAATTTCTCCACAACAACAAACCTGTAAGGTGGGTTGGGCTGAGAGAGGGTGACTGGCCCAGAATCACTCAATCAGCTTTCATACCTAAGGTGGGATTAGAACTCACAGGCTCCTGGTTTGTAGTCTGGTGCCTTAACCACTGGACCAAACTGGATATAGGCAGGTTCTTTAAAATTAAATATTGTAGGGTTTTGCTTATTGCTACTCTATGTGTGTTGATTTACATATAAGGCTTTGTATCCTTAAAAGGTATATTCACTTTCAGTGTGTTTTGCAAAACAGTAGAGCTGTGCAAAAAGCCTTAAGTCCTTTAGAACAGGAGTCCCCAACCCCCGGTCCGTGGACTGGTCCACGGCATGCCAGCAATTGCCTGCACAAACAAGCAAAGCCCAATCCTTGGGATGTGGGCAGCACACAAAACCATGCACTCTCGGTCCGCGGAAAAACCTTTCTCCACGGAACCGGTCCCTGGGGCCCAAAAGGTTGGCGACCTCTGTTTTAGAATGCATAGGAAATGTTTACAATGATTAAAGCAGCTGCATCATTTTCCAGGTTTGTATAGTACATCAGAAGCTGCTCTTGGCTACCTCCACATACATATTTATGCAGAGCCTAGCAAAGACTATACTGCTTTAATTATTTAAAAATTAGCACTTCATATTCACTCTTCCACATTCTGAAGTACTGCTTTTGAAGGATTTGTATAGATTTAATGCGTAGTTAAAAAGGGTTAGAGTTAGGTTAGCAAGTGTTTCAGAGAATGCAGTACCCTGTGCTAATAGTTCATTGTGGTTGAGCATATACAAATTAATAAAAGAATATATGGGAAACTTTAAAAAACAAATATTTAATGAGTTTAAAATTTTATTTTGTTATTTTTTATTTTAATAAAATTAATTTGTTTTGATTTAAGGAAGAAAGAATAGAATAATTTGGGAGCAGATACTTTGGGCAATTTAAGATTTGTATAGATCAGGGGTAGGCAACCCAAAACACTCAACGAGCCACTTGGACACGTTTCCCACCGAAAACAAAACACTGGGAGCCGCAAAACCCTTTTGATATCTAAAATGAAGATAACACTGCATATATCCTTTTTTACCTTTAATATGTGTGTGTGTGTGTGTGTGTGTAAAATAAAGGTAAAAAAGGATATATTCAGTGTTATCTTCATTTTAGATGTCAAAAGGGTCTCTCTCCTTGTCTCTCGCTTTTCTCTTTCCTTTCTCTTTCGTCTCCCTCCCTCTTTCCTCTCTTTTTTCTCTTTCCTCTCCCCTCTCTTTCTCTCTTTCCTCTCTTTCTCTCTCTCTTTCCTCTTCCTCTTTCTCTCCCTCTCTTTCTCCCTTTCCTCTCTCTTTCCCTCTTTCCTCTTTTTCTCTTTCCTCTCCCCCTTTCTCTCTTTCCTCTCTTTCCTCTCCCTCTTTCTCTTTCCTCTCTTTCTCTTTCCTCTCTATTTCTTTCTCTTTCCTCTTTCTCTCTCTCTCTTTTTTCTCTTTCCTCTCCCCTCTCTTTCCTCTCTCTCTCTCTTTCCTCTTCCTCTTTCTCTCCCTCTCTTTCTCTCTCCCTTTCCTCTCTTTCCCTCTTTCCTCTTTTTCCTCTCCCCCTTTCTCTCTTTCCTCTCTTTCCTCTCTCTCTTTCTCTTTCCTCTCTCTCTTTCCTCTCTCTTTCTTTCTTCTTTCTCTTTCCTCTTTCTCTCTCTCTCTCTTTTCTCTTTCCTCTCCCCCTTTCTCTCTCTCTTTCCTCTCTTTCTCTCTCTCCTCTTCCTCTTTCTCTCCCTTTCCTCTCTCTTTCCCTCTTCCCTCTTTTTCTCTTTCCTCTCCCCTTTCTCTCTTTCCTCTTCCCCTCTTTCTCTCTTTCCTCTCCCCCTCTCTTTCTCTTTTTTCTCTCTTTCTCTCTTTCCTCTCCCTCTTTCTCTTTCCTCTCCTCTCTTTTTCTTCCCTCTTTCTCTTTCTATCTTTCTTCTTTCTCTTTCCTCTCTTTCCTCTATCTCTTCCTCTCTTTCCTCTCTTTCTCTTCTCTCTTTCTTTCTCTTCTCTTTCCTCTTTCTCTCTTTCCTCTCTCTCTTTCTCTCTCTCTCCAGGTGAGGAGAGAGAGAGAGAACGAAAGGCAGACGGCATCGAACGGGCGGGGAAGGGGAGCAGGACGGGAGGCAGCGGCTCCGACAGCACAGCGGTGGCCACTGCAGCATCGTCGGGGGTCTGCGCCGCCCCTGGGCTGGCCGCCGCGTTCTGAGCCAAATGGGCGAGGAGGGGGGAGTAGGACGGGAGGCAGCGGCTCCAGTGGCGGCGGCGGCCACTGCAGCATCGTCGGAGTTCCCCGCCGCCCCCACTGCGTTCTCAGCCGAACGAGCGGAGAGGGAAAGCAGGACGGGAGGCAATGGCTCTGGTGGTGGTGGCGTGGCCCGGCCGCCCCCCGCTGCATCCTCTGAACGGACGGAGAGGGGGAGTAGGACGGGAGGCAGTGGCTCTGGTGGTGGAGGCGCGGCCCCTCAGCCAAACAGGCGGGGAGGGGGAGCAGGACGGGAAGAAGTGGCGGTACGGCGGTGGCCACTGCAGCATCGTCGGGGGTCCCCGCCAACCCTGGCCTGGCTGCCGCCTCCACCGTGTCCTTAACCACTTTGCCATCGCAAGAGGAGGGCACCAAGGCCAGGTGCATCATGGGCAGCCGCGCCGGCAACGGGGAATGCCACCGCAGGGATGAGGGTGGTCCCGACCCACCGCCGCCCTCACAGCCCAAGGTCTCCTGCAGCACTGAGGGCGGCAGCAGCGGCAGCAGGAGGACGGTGAAGGGGTATGGCTGCCCGCTCGTCACCGCCTCTTCGGCCTTGCTCAGTGCAACCGGCGGCGGCGGCGGGAGGACTGCACAGCAGGTGGGGAAAGGGCCGGGCAGGCGCTGCGGGGGAATCCGCTGCCCATGAGACAGCCGAAAGGCGCAGGCTGAGAGGGGAAGCTACAGAGACCCCCGGTGACCCCCCCTCACTAACAGAGGCGACGGTGGAGCAGGGCGAGGGGAGACCCGCCGGGCAAGGAAGAGGCACCCCGAGACTGGCCACCAGTGGCTCCTTACCAGGGACACGTTTCCAGCAATCCTCCCGGCCACCACGTGCAGTCTGAAGAAGGAAAGAGGTTTGTGGGCAGTCCCACAAACCAAAGAAGTTCAACCAACCAATCAATTCAAACTTCATGAGAAGTCCCACTTTTTTTTTCCAGACTGCACATGGTGGCTGAGGACAGGGAGCCACAGGAGATGGCTGAACGAGCCGCATGCTGTGGGTTGCCGTCCGTGGTATAGATAATGCTGTCTGAAACATTCTGAACTTCCTCCCAGCCAATTGAAGGCAAAAACTAGAAACTATCCTGTCTAATTGTTGCCTGATCTGACTTACCCCTCCCCTCTTTCCCAAGAAAAAAGTTCAGAAGCATCAGTGAGACTGAAAGGGAACTAAAATTACAGATGGATGCAATTATGTATCTCTTCCAGTACTTGTCAGCAATCAACAGCATAATGTATAGGGACACTAATTTAACTATAGAGAGTCCATCTGTTGCAGTAAATGTCTGAACTTTGGTAAACATTGTTGATGTTTATATGGGAAGTCAATCATAAACCCAAGTTAAAAATATTTGTTGGTTAATTATCTTAGATACCTCAGGTTTTTCTCCACAAGAAATTAAGAAAATCTGAGGTAGGCTAGAATGAAAAAGTACTAATTTCAGATCCTTAAACAAATAGTTTAGAATTATTTATTTATTTAT